CACCCCGTAAGGGTATGGGGTGTAAGGGCCATGCCCAGCAGCTGTCCCCCCCCCCCCCCCCCCCCCCCCCACCTGTCCCCTTCACTCCCCCAATCGCCCACCTGCAGATCCAGATACCCCAGCTGCTGATATATCTCCTGGCACCTCTTCTCCCTCGCCTGGAGCACCTGGATCCTCTCCCTCGTGAACCACCTCGGGACCGTGACCTCGATGGCGTCGGGGCTCCACCCCAGCCCCGCCAGGAGGTGGTCGAAGCGGTGCACCTCTCGCAGGTCCAGCTTCACCAACTCCTGCTTCAACTCCAGGATTCGCCCTGGGAAGAAATCCAAAGAAAAATTTTCGATTTTAAACAAATGCACGAATGAAAATTATATTGAAGCAATTTTTTAAATTTATTTTCAACATTTATATTCGGGCGTCAGGTACAAAACATTTTTAAAAAGTTATTTCTCGATTCCTCGAAGAAAGCAGAAAGGTGCGAAGTGATCTGGAAAGATCACCTTGGCAAGGCCCAGCGGATCCCTAAAAAAATATCAAAGGAAAAGGGAGGAGGGGGGGGGAAAGAGCCGATGATATCCGCCCTATGAATAATGGTTTTCTGGACCGCCGAAGGATCAACTTGGCACTGCCTAGATAACTCTTCATCGATCAGTTTCTCTGAACTTGGACCAATCACGCCGACACATTTCTGTCTGCCGCGTTTCGAACGATGGAACAGATCCGAGATCATATGCAAGATCAGGGCCACCCTCACATGAAGTGCACGACATTTTTGCGCCTCCTCGCATCAAAGCAGAGGCTTCATCGGAAACAGAAGGAACTCAGACGAACGAAAGCGAACTAAGCTCGAAGCCGATCGTCGGCGAGGGACGCGAGCAGACGACGCGGCGCATCCGTCCCCGACCGAACCGCGACCCCCACTGGACCCTTCTTCCCGCTCAGGCCTCGGCGGACCGCGAGACCCGGCAGAGGTGAGGTCGAGCGATGCGAGGTGTGCGCGGGTGGAGAACCTCGACAGGAACGCGTCTTCTCGACTCCCTAACTCACGCCCCAGTTCAGAATTTTTATTATTTTAATATATATATTCATTATTTTATTATTTATATTTATTTAGCCACGAGACGAACCGTCGACCGCGGCAACACCCCACTCACAGCCCCCTTCGACCTGGCTCCCCGCAGACACCTCTGGTCCCCTTCAGCTGCACAAGCCCGACGATTCTCCACGCCTTCAAATTGCTATCAGGGGCCTATTCCACAAAAGATTTACAGGTTACAAGCTACAAGTTACAAGTAGTTACAAGGGTCATGCCTTGATTGCGTCAATTGTCAGCGGGACCCACTAGAAGGGTTGAAAAACACGACCCTTCGCAACTATCCATCTTGTAACGTGTAGGTTGTAACTTGTAAATCTTCACTAGAATAGGCCCCTAGAGGGCAATTTACAAACACCGCTGGCGATCCGAAACCATCCGGAGAAACAACCCCAAACAAGTTTTTAAAAAAATGTAGATATTTCGCGTTCAATCTTGGCGACCGATTTTCTTTTTAAATCATCAAGGGAATCCGATAAAGCGGAAGATTCTCCCAACCGGCAGCAGCAGAACGAGTGGAAACCGGTTTTTTGATTGCGTCAACCCCTGGCGGTTGCGTAATGTCAAGGAACTTGCCTTCCCGGTCAAGGGCAGCCATGCACATGGGTGGCCGGGTTCATAGGTGACCTGGCTCATAGGTGGTCAAGCTCATAGATGGCCGTGCGGGACATGGGACTCCATAACACTCAAGAGCAGTGATGCACGATCCGCGGCTAGCGGAGACCTTTTTGCGGCCCTATTGAATGCCTCCGGGTCTCTAAAAATCCATATTTAAATCTATTTATATTCGAGGCTCATATTCGAGGGCCGCAAACCCTCGAACGTGAGCCGAAGCCTCAACTTGGCCCTCTAGAGAGAAATGGTTGTGCACCACTGTTCTAAAGGCGTGGCAAGTGGAGGTTGGACCGAGTGGAGGTTCCGGCCCTCGAGAAGAATCGTGGCCATGTCGTTCACTTTTTTGTGACGTGCTTCCTGTTCATCGTGGCTTTTTGCTTTCGTTGCAATGCTCGTCGG